CGATATTACTATTCTTTTTGCCTCGTTTCCCTCCTTGTTACTCGTGATTTCCAATGAAACTGTTTTGTTCTTCGTTATTCCTATTCCTTTGTCTCACACCTCTGTTCACTGTCTATTTTATTATGCATTTCTCCTACTTTCTTCTCCTCGTTTGTGTGCTACATGGAGTGTGGCGACTTGAACTACCGCACATATGTGCAGAGTTCTATGTCGAAAACCGTCCGACCGACAATGTTAAACTATTCTCTCTTCTACTTTACATTCACAATAATGCTTGGATTGCATTTTCCTGGACAGGTTCACTGAAACTCCACCTGTGGGAAGGATGTGCTATACACTCTGTTAGAAGTGAAATGAGTCATTCTTTTCACTTATGGGTTCTTCACCCATCTATCCAGCCATGTGTACTGGTTACCTACACTGATAAGTTTCTACTGCCTCTAGGTTAGACAAATGCTAACTGCCAAAGGAAAAGCATTTTCCACCTACTGGCCTCCCGATTGTCACCAATAATTTTCCGTAGTCATAAGTGTGTTGAGCACAATTAACCCATGGAATGCGTTACGTGGCACCTAAACTATGTGACATGATGTTATGTTGTGTTTCCCAAATTTATATATATTTCATTTCCTTTGTGGTTATTAGCAGGTGTGCGGGAGAAACCTAAGTCCTGGGTCGTTACTATCTGAGCAAATAGGTGTCAAGTTCAATCAAAGTGGTATAGTTTAACTCCATGTTTCTTTGCTTATTGTGTGTGGTATGCGATGATGCAGCATTATTCATTTTGCGCTATTTCATAAACCAACAAAGCACCATGAAATCCCTGTTGTTCTTATTATCTGAATGCCGTAGTTATACAACGACAAACATGCAACACAACTTCACGGTTTTCAGCCGATCACGTTTCGTCATCTTGAACAATTATAATTAACCACAAAGCTTCACTAACAAATATGGCAAGAGTGGACACCAGAAACCTGATGCAGTTACGGTCAACAAGGAGTCGGTTTCCATAGAACTCGACATTATGGGTGATGATATTATAAGAGTCATAAATAGAAGATAAGCACAGCCCTGTCCAGGACGCAACTTGCAGGAAAACTAGTCTGTCTACTCTGAACATCCTCCTCGCTGGTTCAGTCAAAGATAGACAAGTACCCCTTATATATTACCTGCAAGTGTGCATACCAATTCAATTCACATGCATATATGGGAGCAGTTACACTGGAAGAACAGAAAGAAGTGCTTATGTCAAATTCTTCGAACATGTACCAAGGAGCTTCCGGTTAAATGGGCCAAACAGTTTAAGCTCTCCAATAACCAAACACACGATAGACACAAGACACTGAGCAGACCCACTGGGATCATTCAAAATAATTGACAGACAAAATAGCTCAAGTCTTCTTCGGTTTGATGAGGCGATCTCAATAAAACAGCTGACACCTAACCTATGTGTCGAAGAGGAATCTATCGCTGGACTTCAGTTGCCCCGGTGACTCATTCCCTAATAACTCTTTGTTTTCACTCTCTTCCTCCCTCCTCTTTGACCGTCTGACCTCCATAAGAGTTAGTTTTTCCTGACCTGCTGAGTTCCACTCACCTTATTACACCATCATCTTTTCATCTGACCTCTTGTACACCACATTTTGATCGTCCCTTACCTAACAATGTAACTGTTACTAATTTTTGTTACCATCCTAACAACAAATTAGCTAGTTAATTTTTCGAGGACCTATCCAGCAATACATATATATATATATATATTAAATATTCCCATAGTAAAATTTAGAACAACACATTTAAGCGAACAATATTGTTTTCAATTAGATCTCATCAGGCTTAACTCTAATATATATAAGTTTACAAAAAAAATTCAAATATAAACCAATCATGGTGTTTTGTCTATAGGATAATACGATGGTGAATATAAATTGTGCAATTAGTCATAATAGTAGTAATGATAATAATAATTATAGTAATAATAGAAATGATTGCGACACAAACGAAGGATAAGCTTGATACTTTTGCCACATCTATGTGTATTTATCAATTCAACTGCACCTGCGGTGACAGTTATATTGGGCGTACTACTAGACAGCTTAGCCAACGTGTTAGTGAGCATCTCCCATCGTGGTTTGGCAAAGGACAGACAAAAACAATCCGTAGCTCAATTTTGTCACATTTAATTGATAGTGGTCATGTATTGGAGAAAACGAGAGCTTTCAAAGTGATTCATCGTATCCCACCGAATCTTTCCAATAGACTTCGTATTCGTCTACTACACACAGCTGAGGCAATAGGCATTCGAACTATTAAACCTAAATTATGTATTCAAAAAAGTTCGTACAGCCATTATCCCTCCCTTGGCCTATTAAGACGTAACCAACTAATAACTTCTACACCACCCTTTGTTTGTATTTCCATCCCCTTTCTTATCATCCCTTAATCTTATCTTCATTATAAACGTGTTTAATTTCCTTCCCTTACAATCTAACATTACTTAATCGGTTCATTTGTTTTTACTAGCCTTTATCGACTACTTCCACCTGAACAGTTGTTTGTTTAATCATGCTATTTTTCATTATTCGTGTTATCACAGATTGCCTCACTTTTTCATCCTTATTATTGATAAGACCATTTCTATTATTACTATAATTATTATTATCATTACTACTATTATGACTAATTGCACAATTTATATTCACCATCGTATTATCCTATAGACAAAACACCATGATTGGTTTATATTTGAATTTTTTTTGTAAACTTATATATATTAGAGTTAAGCCTGATGAGATCTAATTGAAAACATATATATATGTATATATATCGTATCACTTCAGACACCCCATCATCCTCATGTTTCATATCACTATGGTGCTCTTGCAGTATGCCTGCTGGTGGACAAAAGTGTGTCAAAATTGTACACTGACTTATTTTATTGAAGATTGTAGGTTGTACGCAACTGATGAGAACCTGAATGAGTCCATCTCGTACAAAACACCTTCTAGTCATAGGCCCAACCTTTTTATAAGAGTTTTAGGTTGTCATATTGATGATATGGATTTAATTTATTTCTATAAGAATTTTGGCACTCATTAAACTTGATAACACAACCTAGAGTCAATAACGGTGGAAACAAACGTCATAAAGCAGTAAGTTAATGAATGTGTTAGGCAAATAGGCTCTCTTTTGAGTAGTATGTATAGTTCTGATAGTAAACATGAGTGACTGGTCCACTCACGTTCTAATTTTTAACTGGCTAAGTAGTTCAGTAAAGTGTAAATGAACCAGAATACTCTATGACTGACACCAAATGTGTGCAATATCATTAAGTGACTGTTATAAAACGAAATATAACTCAAATTTCAGGCAAACGATAATTAGATGTGATGAAAAAACAAACAGATTTACTGCATTCAACTAGTCAAAAACATTACATAATAATACGAGGAAGTCAGTATATACGACTTACGCGCAAGCAAATCAAATTTCGGAGTTGTAAAAACGCGTACTTCCTTGTCCACACGATTTGGAAATGCGTATACACTGTACTTCTGGCCATTGGTTAAGTATGGAATTCTAATCTCTTGTCCCTTAGCTAGTTGCATGATTGTCTTATCCCCGAATAGGAAGAACACCAACTCCTTGTCCCTGCATTCGTTGTAGTTTTGAAGTGTCCAACGTAAGACGACACTTGAGCCTAGGGGAGCTTCTGTGTGTACGTCTGTGATTTTCGGAACGTCTACAATGAACAACGTCAAAAACTAACAATAGAAACTTTTTCCCAGTGAACTCGCTACTCGTCTGTGCAATATACTTCAATGATAAACAGTGAAGAGAATGAATAAAATTATTCAGTACATCTTACCCAATGTTTTCTGGATATCCTCAGTATATATCTGTTGGAATTCGTCACTGCTCTTCGCTCTACTAGACATTGTAAATCGAAGCGTCACTTCTTGACACATAGGGATGTTACACAATTTCACGGAGTTTGAGTTGTTCGTCGCCTTGATTTTCGCTGGTCCGACCAACTCCAATACAAGCTTGTATTCATGGGTAGAAATCTTGCTCTTATCCACCTCAACAGTAGCACAGTCATGGAGATATGATTTGGTGACGTCTGATCCACTTACCTCAGCTGAACAATCGGAATTTCCATTGGATCACATGAAAGGGAAAGGGAAAGAAAAGAGTTACATTTCAAGTACCATCCTGACAATATGCTGATTGACAACATCAAACAATGGAAATCTGTCAATGACCACGAAACACTGTATTTCGATGGGGGTTCTCAGACAGAGGCTACTAAGACCTGTCAAATGTACGAGTGCTCTTATAATTCCAATCTGCATCACTATTAATACCAGTAGTAGTAATCTCAAAAAGGATTGCGTGTTTCTGCAGAATGATTTGAAGTGTAGGTGAGACGGATTAAGTACTCAACCACATGACTACAAATGAGTACGTGTATTAATTCTAAAGCTGAATTATTCAACTCCAACGAAGCCCACTCACAATTTCGTTTTACAGCTCCATGAAACAAATGCAACATTGTGCATATTTCCAGCATCATTTCGAAGCCTCTTCTGTCTGTCTGAGTCTTCATAGTGGAAGTCTACTTCATGCGCTTCGACACAAAGATTGTGTTTGTGAAGGTATACACTTCATCCGTACTGCAGGAGAACCACATCTAACAATTATGACTTCTCTAGCTACTGACTTAGTTTACTTAGACGTACTCGCAACAACTTCTCCATCTCAATCCTAACTCCTTTTCATACTGAGAGAGTGAATAACAAACATATCGAACTCAATGTGATGCATGCACGTGATGCAAGACACACAAGTGGGGAGAATCTCATCACCTCTGCACACTGAGAATAATCTACCAGTCCGTACAATGTTTTCACGACGAATGTAACATCATCAATTGATTGTGTTTGTGAAAATCAGGTTTAATTTTCAAGAAAAAGAAGAAGAAAAAAAGGAATTACCTTGGACAGTGGTTGTCAAAATGACTGGAATCAGACTGATACACAAGGCTATTATCATATTGAATGATGGGTGTATTGTATTGTAGTGTCTTCTATGACTTCGCACAACTAGTTAGCCCATGCAGCTGCTTATATAATTTTCTGAAATTGTAGTTTTCTCTTTGACCAATCAATTAGTTCTTGTGCGTCAGTTATATTTTGCGACATTCTTTTCGTTCCATAGGGGCCAGTTCGCTTCACCTTCAAACTACAATATTATCTGAATCATTTTATTGGTTGTTAAAGATATTGAATTACATTAGACAGAACTCGTGCTAACCAGCATGAACACTGCATTTGTAGATGTACATGAATACAAAATGGATTATTCAAAAAATTATGGCAGCCCCTTCCCTCGAATTCTGTGTATAACCGAATATGCATACATTCATTCCCCTTTATGAATTTGAATAAAGCAAGAACAGCAGTTTGTGCAGTCACAACATGAAATTGGTGTGTAGTATTTCGTACTCCACATTTATTCTTCTTCAGTTTGTTTCTCACTACTCTTTGTGACTGCATGTTATCGAAAGTATACGCATAGCTAAGCTATGATTTAAGAAATCTTTTGATCGATATTTGATAATTCTTTCCTCCGTAATATGTTGACACGGCGATTTGACGTCGCCGAGTCGATAGAATCTTAATTCCCAACAAACATGTCTTCCACAAATCGTGATACTGGCTATCTCTTCGAAATGGACAACCTTAGGTTATTAATTATATCTTAGACCTTGTAAGCTATGAACTTCTGACGTGTCTATGTTCACAAGATGATCGCATCAGTCTGTATTCCATGTGAGCTGGACTGTAAGTAATGTGTGATATTCAGTGAATCTCATTTACGAGAAAACCGATTGGAAAGCTTTCTGATCTGTCACTGCACACTGATGAATGGTTCTCCCATTATTTCTGTTCCAAATATACAACTATTGGTACTACGTCGTCTTATGCAGAATTGAGTAATCATTGATCAATGGATCGACAAACTGCTATAGAATTTTTACCTGAACGGCTAACACAATTTCTTCCGCCTACTGTAATAAAGGCGAAAGAATACTGTCAGGAAATATAAGCTTATAGCTGAGTGAAACGAAACAATATGAATGTATAGAAATATAACTGGTATATCAAATCTGCATGGGAATAGGGTGAAATGACCAGTTTCTCCCGTCTTCGAAAACATAACTTCAAGTTTGGGATCACGCAGGCTTTTGAAAAGGCGAACAATGTTTTCTCCCTTTTATCTTCTGACGTCTAAGAAGCATTAGCTGGTAGATTTTCAAATGGCTCAGTATAGCGATATTGCCCACGTTCATTCGTATTGGGTGGACTTAACTATTTGAAAAGGAGTATATTGCAGTAACACAGTTTTCATGTGTTGAATGGCGTTCAAAAGAAAGTCTATTCTACAAAAACGAGTCGTGCATACTTCAACGCTTGATTTCTACTGTTCCATCATTGTTTGGTTATATTGCTAACTATATTTCGCATACAAGTGGAATTCACGCTCACGAATTTATTTCACTCATATTTGGTACTGATTTAGTTAATCAGAACAGATAACTTTATCATTGCTACAAGTAAAATTGGAAGTTTTTATTTGATACCCATAAATCTTTATTTTAAACATTAAGTTAGTTACTGAGACTATTTATTGTGCGACAATTGTAACTGGCTAACCCAAACGATATACTGAGGATTGTTTAGTCTGCATTGAAGGATTAAACTATCAGGAACAAACATTATTATATATATACATATATATATATATATATCACTATTACATATTTCGAAGATTCATTCGGATTCGTTTGCATCCCATATTTGATACAAAGACTAATAACAATTTTCTTGACCTAGTGTCTTCTGTTTTCCACTTTATTGTTGTACGTGCTGTTGGTGTATGTTAGCCAGGATACCTCAATACAAGAGACATATGCTGTTCGATTGCTGTTCTCCTCTCATCTGTGTAGACATCTGCGACTCACTTAGAAGCTATCAGGAGAAATTCCCATGGCACACTGAACTGTTCCGTCTAAAACTAGCGTTTTAGTGCATTTTTCATTGCCACGTAAATTGGTTGAAAGTCGGTGGATGAAAAAGTGCACAACCTCATAGTGTAATTAGCTTACGCTTTTGTAGAGTTGATGCAGCAACCTTATAAAAGTGGCCGAAAGTTGACTGACTGTAGTGACTTATTTCTATTGAACGACAACATGACCAAACACCCCACCCGTCTTATGACAGAAACAAATACATAAGTTCTAAGCCTTTCAAACAAGACGTGTTCTATAGGCTGCAAGCGACCGTTTCTTCAACCCTCCCGCCTCGCAGTAACAATAATCCTTCTACTATCATAGTTATGCAAGACAGTATATGACTTAAACAAAATGCTAAGCCATCAGCGACAGACGAATTCCAGTTAATCTACATGTCTCCCTTGGTCTACACTACCTCTTCTTTGTAATAAAGTTACACTTCTACAAATACTGTGTTGCTTGAATGTTTACTGTCACTTGTTTCTGTTGCGTCATGCAAGTACTCTCACGGACTACGAAAAAACATAAAATGATAAGCGAGCGGGTTGTAATTTATAGACTCGTAATCACCAGTCCCTTAAAACAAGTGCAGTTCCAGTGTTTCTCATAACACTTTAACTGCTTTGGAGAGCTGTCAGCAGTGAATAGCACAGCACATCATAGTAATTCACGACACGCTATCTAATGTGCTTTCCACTTTCACGTATCACCACCTAACTGTGCTAGCATCTGATGTATTAGGAAAAGACTATTATAGAACTGTGAGAGTATATTTGAAAATGCGCTCCAAATTTTTGCATTAGAAAAATTGGGATAGTTCAATTTGCAAGTTTCTTAGACGATAACTACGGTGAAACTGACTCTCATAAGTGAGTTGCTTTTATGAGGTACAAGTGCTGATCAAGTTGTGGCAACTCAGACTACACCCTCCGGATAGTCTAGTGAACCTGACAGGTCATACTGTGAATGTTTACGGCATGACATAGTGGAGTAGTTAGTTATATTAGAATCGTAAACACTTAAAAAACAGAATAGTTCATTTGTATGACAGTTGTGAAATTTCACTGCTATATAAGAGCCCTGGTATACTAAGAGACAATTAAGCCAATCGAACGACTTGATGCCAACAAACTGAGAGGAATGCTTACTCAGGCTACATTGCAGAAATGTATTCATCGCATCTGTCGGACAGAAGAGCTCACGTGTTTCGTCAACCAGAAAAGTGGTGGTTAGTAGCCTCATCGTTGCAGTACTTCCATGTCACTTTGGAACAGTTTCCTCATTTACGTCCATTAGATAGTCTTAACATGAGGGTCTCCAACAAGACAGATTGAGAATTAGAATTCTAACTCATTATAAGGGAGCGATAACTAAGTTAGGTTTTGAGGACATGTGCACTGCTTCTCTCTTCTAAACTGACATAGCACATATTCTTGAAATTCTAGGACTTCTTGTTTATTTTAGTAAAGTCAAGGTACCTCTACCATATGTATAGTTACCGCTTAGTTGATATGTATTTGATTTCAGTAAGCTGTATAGTTACTTAGACAACTTCACATTTCTTAACGTCCACTCCTCAGACAAATGTGTGATCAGCAGGCTGCTAGAGATCAGAACATGCTGACACCATCGATACGAAATTTAAAATGATCAGAAGCCAATAATTATTTGGTAAAAATAAGGAAATAACTAATATTTTTGTTTCTTATGTGAGTATAAAATAGGATGGCTGTTATAAACATTTGCTTAAAGACATATATATATATATATATAAATGGAGATTTTTCTATGTTAATGTCAAACTGGGACTAATTCAAACCACCAAAAATCCTAAACATTAGCGTAAACTGTCAAGTCGATACTTTTAAATTAGACTGCATTTTGATGGTAGGTTGTAAGAGATAGTAAGGTTTAAGTGAAATAAAAATACCTAAGAACAAATGTTAGTGACATCCGTATTGTTAACGAGGCATCCAGAAACTCATCATCAGTAGAAGTAACTGAAAGAACCAGAGATTTAAATGGGATGTTTCAAAGATTCTAAGTACAGATTTCTCTAAAATATATGCAAATTTATAACCATGTGGATGAATGTATTGTCTCTAAGACACTTGTTTTACATGCGACCTACCGTTGCTGCACAATTGGGCTAGTTGGTAAACTACTACATCCATATGCAGGACAAGTATCAGGTTATTTTGTCTGCTCCACTGGGGCTTAGTGGTGTCAAGTCTGTGTAGGAATCACTTTGTGTTTACAATTAACATGAAATATATGAAATGATTTTCACGCCTTATCATCCTACTCGTCTATTTAAACTGAATAAATACATTTTCATCAACATGGTTAACTCGTTTTGCGTGATTGATGTTGCTAACTTCACGGACCTTGTAAGTGTAGATTGTAATTAATATTTCGTGCAACTTCTGATTTGTAAGCATACTCTACCTGTTACACACAGACATGACATATACGACAGCCACTGATATGATGAACACAGACTTAGTTACTAATCGTTCAATCCCAGACAAGTTTAATAATCCTTAACACTTTCCTCATATCTCGACCCAATGGAAGACTGTTTTCAAATGCTAGCATACCATTGGTATTTGGACTTGGCTACTACACATTTGCAATGTGTTCAGAAAGCCAGGAAACCCATCACCACATTCTTTGTTTGTCTGAGGATAACTTATCGGGGCAGAGACAGATACACAGCCCGAACAACTCATGGGGAAAGCCTCACACTCGAAAACTAGGAAACGCAAGCTTGACGCTGCAGAATAATGCATAACCACTGCTGAAGTGGATTGATAAGCATGAAGCTCAACTGCAAAGAAGATTCTTATCACTGTTTTCACCTATCTTAAATCATTTACGTTGTGTGTAAAGCGGAACATTTAGAAACTTGATCTTTTCAACTAATTATATTAATAAGCAGAAAATATTAATAAAATTGAATGAGGTGATGTTTCTCTTCGTCATTATTGTGCTACACTACTATATCGTACGACTTCTTTAACGTCACATACCTTTCTTACTTTCTGTGGCCAGATTTCAGTGTGTGGGTGTGTTGTAATGAGCTGATCATACCACACTGATAGTGCTATGCTAACTTTCAGGAATTTATCAATAACTCGTAATTAAAAGTTGATCAGGACGAAGAATACTCTTTTCAATCAATTGTCTACAGGCGCTTACAGTTATAAAATAAGATACATTACCAATATAATAACAGATAGTTATAC